GACATCTCCTCCCAGAGCAAACTCCTCAGCGCGAAAGCGAAGAATCCTTATGCGGCTTATGCTTCGTCTTGTGATAACTGCAAGGTGAAGACGGAGCAGGGGAAGAAGTTTTGCCAGCGGTGCGCTTATCAGCGGAATGGTATGTTGCTCTATTCTTTTTCCTTGGCTTGTTCGTTGCAAATGGAATGCTGATATTGATACTATATGTAGCCTGTGCCATGTGCGGCAAGAATCTGGCGGGGAAGTCGGCCAAGGACCAGCCTATTGTTCAGGGACAGAAGTTCAACATGGCATGAGATGCTTGCGGGTTAGATCTAGACGGTTGTGCCTTTTACTTTTTTTACTTTGTTTCACTCTACATGGCATGGCGTTTTTGGAGGCGTTGATGATACCGCGGAATCGAATATTAATATCAACATCAACATTGAAATGAAATGAAATTGATTTGACAGTGTAGGAAAATTCTAGTTATACATGGCATGCGCAATAAGAGTATATGCAATGCGCCACCAATGGTGCGCTATAGTATCGGAACAAGTATGCCTTTTCATCTCTGAAGAACTTTGAACCTCGCGTTCTCCTTCTCACCCAGCTCCCCTCAGCTGCTTCCCGGTATTCGACTCTTACCGGTCGGCCAGCATGTTCTTGATGTTGCTGTAGTATTGCGTGTTCAGGTATTGCGCGAGCTCCTCCTTGGCGAGCCACTTGAAGTCCTTGAGGTCCTGGGTGTTGACGGACAGATCGGCTTGGCCGGCCATCATACGAGACTTCAAGAAGAAGATCTTGCTTCCGGGAACTTCGACCTCGGTTGCGCTGTCTGCCTTCTTCGAGCGGCGCGGGTTGAAGGAGTGCCATCCGACCGGGTGGAAGCCGACCATCCAGGTGTTCATGTTGACACCGGCGGACTGGGAGAGGGTACGTTCAGCAGCCTAGGAGGGGAAAGTATGTTAGTATAATTTCCAGACTCAAAGTGGTTCGAACACAAGTTATAGCACTCACCAAGCGAAGGGTCTCGCCCGTCTCCACCGGCGAGCTGGGGAACTTCCAGTGTCCCTCCTTAGACTGAACAAGGAGGTAGAGAGTGCGGGAAAGCAAACGATCGAGGCTCTTTTGGTCGTTCTTCTTGTCTGCCTCCGTGATCCGAGGGTACGGCCGAGGGATTTCCTCCTTTTTGCTAGTATCTTGGGAAGTCGCATTGGCAGTGGATTCTGCGTCCTGGACAAGAGCCTCAACCTGGTGTTCAGGTTCAGACTCCTGTGCGCCTAGCAGGAGCTCATCGTTCCATGCATCGCTGTCGTACGCGTTGTAACTTCCGATGTCACGCGCGGCAGTCCGGCGTTCCTGGATCTTCCTCTTCCAGTCTTCGTCGGCTGGTGTTCCACGCTTGAAGTAGAAATATTTCGTAAAGGGGAGGGCCAGACGCTCGTTCAGACGCTTCTGGTAGAAAAAGAACGCTTTCTCGAACGGTTCGAGTTCACGGGTGATTTGGGGAGGGCGGGAGAGGACTACACCCGCGTTGATGATGTAGGCTGGCTTCACAGCGGGGTCAGACGCTGTTGATGCGGATGTCGATTCGATCGCTGGTGCTGCGGAGGAATAGCTGCGGCGGCCAAAGGTCTCTTGACAGCTTCTGCAGACGCCGGAGTCGATTATTGATGGCCCTGCGCGCGGAGTCAGTATTTGGACCTAAATAATCCGGGCAAAAACTTCAATTGGACATACGCAGTAGCGAGGCTACGCGCCGTGCACCATTAGATCCTGACGACATGTTCAAGGGTGGAATGGCAATGTGTTTGGGGCTGATCGGTGTCTTGTCTCCCCGAGAAAAAGATCCAACCAGGTCACGTTGTCGCCAGGCCCGATTAGGTTTAGTCACCGCCCGGGGGGTTTAAATTTCAAAAATCGACTTTCTCTTTTCTTCTCTTCTCCAAGCATCTCTTATCATCACTGCGTCCAGTTCTCTACGGCCGGTTGATCATTTAAAGGTGCTCAGAGTGAGCTCCTCCTGAGATCGCGGCCAATTTTCGCTAGCGGTACCTTCTTTCAAAATCAAGGCGTACTGTTAGATAGCTGCCGCGAACATCCCATTTAGTCTTATGGTTATGTGCTTCAAATAGAAATCCATTTTTACCATTTTTTTACCTTTTTACCTTAACTTTTCTCTCTTCTCTCTAGTCCGTCTCTCTTCTCGGCAAGCATTCTCTTCCCTCAAGACCATGAATCACCACCTGCCCTCAAACCTCCACCAGCAGCTCTTCCTGCTTTGGTGGTTCCCTTCTTAGTTGTACCATCCTCTCCTGTGTACCAAACACCCGCAGTATGTTCCCGTAGGTATGCCAGAAGGTATCTCCGAGACGGGGCAGTAATTTACCCTGGTTGACCAAGCGAGTGATACGCCCGGAACCAGTGTCGGCTAGGGATGTGCCCGCTCGAGCAATCTGAGATGGTTGAATCGTCGGAATGGTCTCAGTGTCAACATCAAAAAAGTTGCTGAATTCACTTTTAGGATAATTCTGACTATTGCTAGGCTGTGCCATGATACTGGCAACCAAACTGGGTGCCGTGTTCGTCTGTGGTCCGGGTTTGACGGTCGGCTGTGAAGGGCTGCGCTGTATATCGCCTGCCAGTTTGATGAAGGCCATGGCGGCAAGCATGCTATCGTATCCTGCCTCGTGGGTGCGCTTACGGAACTTGTACTTCGCAAAGCGAGGGTCGATCTCTGCGAAATGGTTAGTTGTGCTCGCTTGCTGTCAAGGATATAACTCATGTCCTACCTATCTTGGGGCTTTCTATTCCAGCTAAAGTTGTGTTGAGCTCTTCGAGCGAAGACATTGGGTTTAGAGAGCCGCAGTCATGGGTGGCCATGTACTTGGTATCGGCTAGCATGGGGAATAGATCGTGGATGACGGTCTGGAACTCGGCGAGGGTATTCGGCAACGGACCCAGGAAGCATCTGTGGAAGAAGAGCAAATCACAGAACATGTTGTGGCCGACTAGAACCGGTCTGTTCTCCTTAAGCCGGTGCTTCACTTTGTCTGACAACTGCTCGATCTCGAACGTCGGCTGCTCGATTATCTTCATCAGAGGTTGGAAAGCGTCTGGTTCGAGTTCTTCCAGGCTTCCACCAACAAGTGCTTCAGCGATCCAGCGGAACCCGATATGCTTCCGGACTCGTTCCTTTTTGACCTTCAATTTCGTTTCGAAGGTGGATTGCTCATTGCACGGGTCCCGCAATTCGATCTGGACGAACGTTGACGCACCCCGCGACGTTAAGTTGGGGTATTCGTTGCTGATAAGGTGGTGTATCAGCCATTTCTGCATGCTGGTCAACCCGGTAGGTATGGGGCCTGGAATAAGCTGCACACTGCTGGGTGGCGGGATGTTGAGCCACTCACGGCGTTTCTATACATGTCAATTGATTTGGTCAGATCAACGTTTGATATAACGTCTTACCTCGCCCTGGGCCAGCCACTCATTGACACTGATCCGAACGGCTTCAAGGAACTCCAGAGATTCATGATCGTCTTTTTTAATATCCGCAACTTGGACGGGATTCCGCGAGTAACATTTCTCTGTAGCTCTTTTGATTGCCAGCTTTTCTTCCTCTCGAGACAGGTATCGGACACCGAAGGTGCACATGTGGTCAATGCTGAAGTGGTTCGCAAGCAAGAATTCCATTGCTGTCCAGGAAGATGTTAGTGTTATACTCAACATTCGTCGTAGATATCGGACATACAGCGGCTTCCGAATGTCCAGTCCCGATTCACATCCATCTCATGCTGAGTGATTGGACTCAGATTTATGTTGTATGGTTTCAGGGTGTAGGTAGCTGTAGGTAGTTAGCGATATAACGTCTTAAATTAGAGTTAATTGCGTACCATTTTCCTTGTCTTCATGACAAGTTGTCAGCCCAACTTGGAGAATCTGGTACCGCTCTGCGGCCGCCTTGGCTTCCACATATCGTTCCTGCACAGTCTGGGCCTGAGATTGTGGGGTACTTGGTTTGAAAACCACACCAGAGAGCTCGAAGTCTACGGACACGAAGCAGCTGGTGGAGATATCGTTGAGGATGGAGGGGAAACAATCGGGGAAGGTGACAGCTGTGATATCCATCTTGGTTCGAAGTTGAGGACAGCATGAAAGTATGAGCTTAGTGAATGAAGATAAAAGGCGAAAAGGGGAGAGTTGTTGATTGGCTTTGTTGAAGTCCGGATTGCTGCAAGCTGAAAGGAGAGTAGTATGCGTTGGGAAGGCAGGTATCCGAGTTTAATTGATCAGAAAGAGTCTTGCTCTGCGCGGAAGTTTTTGAAAGGGTGATCTGACGCAAAACTGAGAGCTTGAAAGTTTGCTGGTCTACTTGGCTGTCAAGTCTCATAGATCAGAGTTGAGATAGAAGGAAAGTAAGAAGCAGAAAGAGAGCCGAGGGAATAGTGATACAATAGAAGATCTCAAAGCTTTTAAATGCCACCAAGCCCTGGAAGATTACCACTGACTTACTTCTCTAAAGATGTTGTAATAGATATCTTTTGTCAATAAATTCTTAGCAAGTCCCAAAAGTACATTCTCTATTGCTTCAGAAATACAGCATATAGCTTCACAAGATGCAAGATCTATATTAGCCCTGAGATTTTTCTCAGTTACGAGTATATAAATAACCGAGGCAACATTCCGGTGATGTTTTTTATTGCCCCAATGTCCAATTGGAATAGCACAGGCTGTTACCCTTGTAAATCGCCCCTTGTGATGCATTAACCGAACGAAACATTTGGGAGAGTGGCCTAGAGTGGTCAATTTCCAGGGCGAAGCACATCTTCTCCTGTCTAGGGACCAGTCAATGTATAATCAAGTACAAATTAGGAAGTGGTAGAATCTGAAGCTAGTATAAACATGAGATGTCGGATAGATCTCACAGGCCAGTCCCGTGACCGACCCCGGACTTGGACGAGCCGAGGGAAAACGAGAGAGCCGATCATAGCCCCGACACGCTTCATTTCCAAGATTGAATGGTTTCCCTTTTATAATTACTCTCTTTACTACTTTTTGAAGCAAATAAAGATTGCTTTTTGATATCCCGGCTTTCGCAATGGCTAACGGACCCCCCATGTCGTCTCACTCTCACGCCCCATCCTCAGCTTCCCCCACAAAGTTGTGCTCCAAGACATACAAGAAAGCCTCCCAACTTTACCTCACACGGCGCTTACCAGAAGCCCTCGCAAATCTTCAACCGATTATTACGCCTTCAGCACCAGAGGACCAGCACACAAATGGCGACAGCTCAACACCGGTTGCGCCGATCGCCACAGCCGCCGGCACGTGGAGGATCAAGGTGTGGAACCTCTACATCACCCTCCTCAGCGCAATAGTCGATCTCGGCGCAGAGGAGGGAAAGAAGCAATTTGGCCTGAAGGAGTGGAAATCAATTGCCTCGCAAGTTAGAGAAGGTGCAATTTGGGAAACTGTGGTCGAGGTCGGGTACCAAGGCCACGAGGGTTCGGTGGATGCCGAAGTGGTCTACAACCTGTTAGTATTCGGCTTCACCCCACTGGCCCAAATTGATCTACTAACAACGTGACGATAGTGCTACCCTCCTTCTAACGCACTCCTCTTCGCAATCCTTGAACCAACAGCGCCTTGAGACTTACCTCTCCTCCTATGGACAACCCAACCTCGACCTTACGGATCGTCTCCAGGATGCATCTGATGTTTACGAGCAACGCCCTCTGCGTACGACAAGCGGAGCCGATACCCCGAAAGATCTAACCGCTAGAGTAAAGATCATCGAGCTCTTTACTTTGCACGTCCTCCCCCGCAATGATGAGTGGGAATACTCGACCGAATTCGTCAATTTGAGCGAAGTCCTCGACGAAGAACGCAAAGATCTCTTCCTACAGACTCTCGAGGGCCTGAAGGAAGAGAAGGAGCGGGGTGAAATGCGCGCAGTCGAATTACAGCGAGCCAAAGATGCAGAGCTTGAACAGCAACGGGAGGATGAACGTCGCGAAGCCGAAGAAGCAGCGGCAGCCGCTGCGCGACTACAGTCCAATGGGCATAAGCGCAGTACCAGCGAAGTCGACTACGGGATTGAGAAAAACCGCTCACAAGCTTCTCCCAAAGGCAAAGGAGCTAGGCCATCGACAGACAAGTCACCAAATGGCAAGTCACGAACTTCTCTTTCATCGTCTGGCTCCAAAAATGTCAAGAAGCAGGACAAGGTCGAACCACGTGGTCGCTCAAGTCAGGCCGTGGCCACTGGACTGCGCAACATCTTCCGTCACATTATCCGGACTGTGTCTGGGAATCCCATGTCAATAGTGCGCACCCTACTTTTCGTGATCGGTATTTTGATGGCGATGAGCCGGCAGGGTGTGCGTGATCGCATCCGACGGGTGACAGACGGCGCTTGGCAGAAGGTCAAAGCTACGGCCGGAATGGGAGTCAAAGTGAGCTATATTTGAGATATAGGCCACTTCGGTCTCTGCGCACATTGCATGGTTATCATGTACATTTTTTCTTGATCAAGTTGGCCCCCCAGTGTTCCTGGGGGTTGTTTTGCATACATGTTTCTTTTGTGATTCCCTTTGTGATTCTCTATGTTCATGTATTCTATGCATACATATCATATTGCCACCAGGTGTGGTTGAATTTATTCTTATTAAAGTCCGACTTTTCGTTTGTTTCAGCCAGCAATTCTCAAAGGCAACCTTCGTAAAGTGCCTTTGCTTATTGTCCAGTACGTTCATTCCATTGCCGATCAAAGACGGTAAGAGATCGCTGAGCTGTGAAATATTTGCATTAGCTTGTTTTCTACATGAGATATCCAATATATTCCCAAATAAGAGACTTGGATACTCACCCGAAGGAACAACATCCAAAGCCTTAATGGAGACATTAAGAGGCTGATTGAGCATATAAACAGCAGCCTCAGCAACATCATTCGCAAGAAGCGGCCTAACAACACCACCATCAGCAAATCTCCTCAACCGGATAGAGTAAACTGCAAAGTAAAAACTCACGTATATCCGTCCAAAAACTCATCATATTGCGACTGGTCATGTCCAACCCTTTGAGCATGGAAATGTCCCGCAACAACACCAGGCCTCAACGCCAACACCCGGATATTAGTCCCATTCAACTCATTCCGCAACGAGTTAGTGAAAGCCTCTTGCGCCGCTTTGTTAGAATGGTAGACTGCTTCGCCTGTAAAAGGTGGTACTTCTAGGCCAGTGACCGAGGTGACGTTTATGATCGTCCCCGCTTTGCGCGAGAGCATACTGCGGTTTAGCACAGAGTGAGCCACATACATTGGGCCGTTGACGTTTGTTGAGATCATTGTTTGGATGTCTGATATTTTGAGGTTGTGGAAGGCGTTTGGTGCGCCGATGGCGAGTCCGGCCTTGGGGTTTGTTAGTGGATGTCCATAAAACCTTGGAAGAGTTTGATAATGGGGGGTTTAGACTGGGTTTTAGCGTACGTTGTTGATGAGGATGTCGATGCCACCGAGTTCTTTGACTGATGAATCGACGGCTGCATCGACTTCCTCGTAGTTTCCTACATCGGCTGTTCGGTAGATCACTCTAATCTGAGGGTATTGTTTGCTTAACTCGTCTGTGAGTTTGGCTAGTTTGTCCTGGGTATCATGTATGTTAGTTCCTATGTTCGAGGGTCCTTGGTGGCCAGTGGGGTGTGACACTTACCTCGGAGCGAGAGAGAAGAATCAAATTTGCACCGGCTTTGGCTAGGGCCCTTGCTGTTGCTTCACCGATGCCCATTGAGGCGCCGGTCTATAGAAGTAGTTCAATATATGAATTGGGTCGTGATGGCGGTCCACTTACAAGGAGGGCAGTTTGTCCGCTTAGAGTCATTTTGACGGATGCAGTTATATCAAAGCTTCTGTAACAGAGAATAAAGGAAGAAATAGGGTTAATATGTTGTAGAACTTGGATATTTCGTCTCCCTTAGATTATAAATCAATTGTATCTGCAGATGGACGTCATCCAGAGGGAGCTCGGGAGTATACCGGACCCACTTACCTCCAGGGCTCCTCTTTAGGCATAAATATCCGCACTAATACCACATCACTCTGGCGATCATATTCTATGATCATAATGGGGCAGATCATGGAAATATTGGCGGGAATAACAGCTGGACCTATGTTGGAAGCTGCCCTGGGTCTGGCTATCTAAGGATTGAGTTGGGGTGGACAAATTGTGCATCGCTGCTGTCACAAAGCTGAACTTGTAGACCATTCTGGTGGTCTAATCCTCAACCTGCTTTGCAATAGTGGCGTCAGTTTGAGCACAAGATGCAGTCCAACCTGTGCTGATATCTATATTGTCTTCGCCTAAGGGAGATAGATAACACGACTTTCTAGAGGCTGGAGAATGAAGAACACACACTCTTCGTAACAAGGAGGAGGCCATAAAAGCCCAAACAAAGAAGAGTGGACAATACACAATGCATTTGTCGCCATGATTACATAGTGTTTTGGTTCATGGGAAACTGTAGATGCTCATGTTTCGCTATAAATACGGCATGCATCCCGCGCATGAACACACCCTTGTAAACTTCCGTCTTGCTGGATTTCATCAAAGAGAAAGAAAGAAATATTTTTTTAACTCCCAGAGATACCCTGGTTGACGAACCCTTACAGAATAAAGGCCAAGAAGCATGTTTTCAAGGCTGAAATTGAAGAGGAGGATGACAAGAAACATGATCTCAAGGATGCACTCGAAGAGGACGGCAAGGAACACGCCATCAAGGATGAAATCAGAGAGGAGGCATTGGAATATCATGACCATCCCCAGGATAAGGTACTTGAACTCGATGACCAAACAGAAGAAGAGGCACTTGAGGCTCGAGAATTATCTTTGAGTTCAGGGTCTTCGTCTCGTTTCACTGCTCCATCAGCAGAGCAGCGCGTTCTGCCATGTCAACGGTGCTTTCGACGCATGAAAAAACATCCAAGCCATGTTTGTACCATTCAACCAGGTTATTCTAGATGTGACTATTGTCGTTTAAGTCACAGACTTTGCTTAAAGGTGAGTGAATAGTGAATCTGCTAAACAGGTTGATCTGACAATATTTCTGTAGTTGCCATATGCAATCCAGGCAGATGCTACCAGAGCATTCTCTGTGCGCTCCGCGAGACGAAGAGCTGCTCTTATTAATAAAATCCGACAGCGGATGGAACGTGATGCTGTTCAACGTAGGAAAGGCGAATCGAATTATGGACATTCTGATGAAGTCACTGCACCGCTATGCCCTCCCTCTTATCATAGTCCGATGACAAATGATCTGAGAGACCATGGTATGCAGTCAATCGAGGCTGCTCGTGATGAAGTCCAGGCTGTGTTGGATCGTACTCAATGGGAGTTCAAAAAACTTACTGAGCGGTTGGCTGAGCTACAGACTGAGCCAGAGACCAAGGAGGAACGAAAGGATTTGTCTGCTTGGCTGTAGAAGCTTCTTCATGTTGTCACTTTTGTGTGGAACTTTCATTGGGATTTTATTTCTTGTCTACGCCAGTCCATGATCTTTGAAGTTTGATGAGCTTTTGCTAGAAGTGGTTCATATCTTGGGCAAGGTTGTCTCTCTACTTCACAATAGAATGATAGTGTCTTGACAAAACGCGCGTACAATCTTGACAATTGAATTAGATTGTACAAATGTAGTTAGCTGGCTGGCTCTACCTCTTACAAGTCTAATTTTAGACCCAGGTATTCACGGAATAAGTCTAACATGCATATGTTTCGTTACCAAAAGAAAGAAAAAAACAATCTAAGACTCGGTCCAAAGAGCAGCCATTGCCACATAGGAAGGAAAACCAAATAATCTATTCTAAACGGGTATCAAACAGTCGTATGCTCATGACCACGTCCAGCGTGATCTTCACGTGAATCCTCAGCCATACCAATCTCAATATCATCGCGTGTACTGTCATCCAAATCCTCTTTCTCAACGATTCTAGCATGCCACCACCGGAACATTTGAACGAAGAAATGCGCCACGCAAATCTGCTCCGTGGTATAGAGCAGCACCGGCACCGATGTCTTCGCTTTTATGAAAAGATCAACCGGCTGCCACATTGCGTAGAGCAGCGGGATACCGAGTGCGGTGCTCTTCGCCGGCCCGCAAAAGCACACTGCAATAGTTTCCTCCGGAGTCATGCGCTTGAAGATGGGCTTGGACCAGCGCCGGGAGCTGAAAATCCGCGGTGGTCTAGAGCAGAAGAAGCACACTGCCGTTAAAGTGATGTAGAGTATGATGTTGAAAAGAACCACGAAGGCTATGCTCTGCGCGGAAAGGGTTTGAAGGGCTCCTGTTGCGAAGCAGGAGGAAAATGTGGCCCTGATATTTAGGATGTTGGGTTAGAAAGAGGAAGAAAAAAAGGGACCAAGGCTTTCGTATAGAAAGCTAGTTGTACTCACCAAATCAACAATAACAAGCAGACAGTAGCCAGCTTAGGCAGCTTGGTCTTCTGCATGACCCACGCAGTGCGATCAGGCCAAGTCCACCTCACCAGCTGCCCAATAAACAGCGGCAGTAGGACACTGAGTCCCAGTTGCTGAAAAACCTCCTTATACATACTCCCCAAATCCCCACCCCCATACCGCCAGGGATCAAACTCCACCATCTTGGGCATCAACGCAATAGTCCAAGCAGCCGTAACAAATGGGCCGAGAATATTAGCCAACAAGACCTCCACCAAAGCAGCGGCATCATCTCCGCCCGCAGACCTCGTCATAACAACATTTGACGCAATCGTCGTCGGAATACAAGCAGTAAAGATATACCCGGCCAGCACAGCGCGATCAATCTTGCCCCCGGATCCGCAGCGAGGATAATATGCACGATGGCCAGCACCAGTGCGGGGATAAACAGAAACGAAATCACCTGCACGATCAAGTGAAGGCGCCAATTCAGGACGTGCGAGATAAGCTTCTGGCGCGGGATACTCAGGCCTGAGATTAGGAAGATTATCGCGATCACGCCGTACATGATGCTATACTCGGAGCGGATGGTGCCGCCGTGCTTGGCCACGTTCGGGAAGCAATATGCGAGGGCGCACACGATACCGATCCCGATTAGGAGCCATTGGTGGAGGATTAGACTTGCGATGCATTTCAGGGCTCGCTGCCACCGCGGCTGGGCGGTGTCCCGGGCTGCTTCCATTTTTTTGTTGTTTACTCTAGGAATGAGGACATGGATATTGTACTCCCATGGATAATTTGGCCTCTAGAAGGTGAGTTGATCTTGTAGGGGTATGTAGGGGATATGTAGGGGTAGTTGAAAATTGCGTAATCGGCGTTAGTCCGATCCATCGGAGTCGATAGCGCGTACTTTGTACAGGAGTCGCATCATCTATTTGAAGCTATACGTTGTATAACTACAATGTACATTGTAGGATCCATCATCATGGATATGTGTATCTTTTGCATCTTCGCATATCAAACATCAAATCTGGAAATACAGAATGGGGTCGCCGAAATCGGGTAGCCGATGTTATCAATCGGCTCAAATGATACCGAATGCGATAGGCGATGCATGTGAAGGTACTTTGAGTCAAAATCTTGAAACATATAGCATGCCGACACTATTGATCTCATATCTTGCACACGTTGTTCTCCGTGCAGCGAGGTAGATCTCTTGTCGATAGAATGCAAGGTTCCATAGGGCAACTAGAAATTCGGTAAAACGTTCACCCGACAGCATGACGGCTCTATCAACGTCACCACCATCTGCCCAGATGTGCATTCTATAATAATCTACAAACCCCGGACTATAAAGACACCTTTAGCCAAGCCTACAGCAAGCCCCATGCTCAACCTTCGAATACTTTAATTGTCCATCTGACTCAGAACGTCCCATGACCTTTCTGAATATGGACCTCGGCTGAGAGGAGCTCTAGCGTTGGCCCGAGATCACCCGCAAATAGCCAGCGGATTTCGCTACTTTCCTCCGAAGTTCAAGTCGGAACTGTTCAAATCTGCGGAGTAATTTAGATCCCTGGAAAGATTAGGGGTTTCTAGAATGGTGTAGTCTAAGGGTATGGTTGCGTGTAGGATAATGTACATGTAGTTGGAAAAGGCACGGGCATTTTAAACGTGTCATTTTACATTGTACAATCTAATCTGAAAATAAAGTATACAATCACAAGCTGCAAAAACTATGACGACAATTTGGAAAAGGCATGTGAAATCAGATCATTGGAGATCTGGGGTGATTCATTCCGCTGGATAGAGAGCCGCCCTGGTTACCGAAGGCCTCGGGATTGTGTTGGTGGCTCTACACGTACTCGGTACAGATAGAACTTAATTATTATATAGAGACCTCCCTCGGCAAGTCATTTAGTCTACTATCTCTTTTTTTCCTTCTTCTTCTTCTTCTCTGTTCTTCTCATTTGTGCGAGGTCATATACACTTCCGTTCGTCCAGCTTCCTCCGCTTCCCCGTCATAGCTCCCCACAAAGTCTGGCACACTGCCGCCACTCCGCCTCGTGAATCATATACCCTTGGAACTTCGGTTCTCTTTTTTATTTTTTGAAGGATTAAAGATCTTTGGAATTGATCTCTTGATTTTCCTCAGACCCTCCAGATATACCATCTTTACCAATTGCAGGTTGTTTCTGCTTATTCTCCGGGATTGTATACTTCCGCTTCTCCGCAATTTCGGCTTTCCCTTGCGACAATCGGAAGATCTGCGTAACTCGATTTCCGAGACGGCCAATTGAAGAATTTCTGTGAAATCTTCGTGAACAAAAGTGCACATTCTCTGCATATATATCAACACAAATTGAAAACAATGTCCGCCAAAACTGCCAATCAGCGCACATCGCCCGCGGTCAACTTGATCGGTAGAGTAGACTCCCCCTTTTGGGATGGTGTACAGCTATTAACTTTTGCTTGATTAGCTGGTGGTGGTGCCGGTATGATGGAGGCCCTCGTGTGCCATCCGCTAGACACAATCAAGGTCCGCATGCAGCTTTCAAGGAGAGCCACAGCACCTGGGGTGAGTTCGAGAACATGCCATTTGACGGTTGAAGCCATTGCTAACCATGTTCGCTGGATCAGGCTAAGCCACGCGGGTTCGTGGCCACCGGTGCTCAAATCGTGCAAAGGGAGACCGCTCTGGGTCTGTACAAGGGTCTTGGTGCCGTGCTGGGTGGTATCATCCCGAAGATGGCCATTCGATTCACCTCATACGAGTCATATAAGGGCATGCTGGCCGATAAGCAGACAGGCGCCGTGACTAGCAAAGCCACTTTCCTGGGTATGTGAAGAGTTGAACAAGCCTCAAGATGCCCAACAGGAAAGCTAACAATCCCCACAGCTGGTCTCGCTGCCGGTGTTACCGAAGCCGTAGCCATCGTCAACCCCATGGAAGTCATCAAAATTCGTCTGCAGGCTCAGCACCACAGTCTGGCTGACCCCCTGGATACCCCGAAGTACCGCAGCGCCCCACACGCGCTTTTCACCGTGATCAAGGAAGAAGGCTTCAGCGTCCTGTACCGCGGTGTCTCTCTGACAGCCCTCCGACAAGGAACCAACCAGGCCGCCAACTTCACCGCATACACGGAACTGAAGGCTGCCCTGCAGCGTTGGCAACCCGACTACAGCAACAGCCAGCTGCCCGCTTACCAGACCACCATGATTGGTCTGATCTCCGGTGCTGTCGGCCCCTTCTCGAACGCTCCCATCGACACCATCAAGACCCGCCTCCAGAAGACCCGTGCTGAGCCCGGTCAATCCGCTGTCTCCCGTATCATGGTGATTGCCAAGGATATGTTCAAGACGGAGGGTACTCGCGCTTTCTACAAGGGTATCACCCCCCGTGTGATGCGTGTTGCTCCTGGCCAGGCTGTCACTTTCACCGTGTATGAGTTCCTCAAGGGTAAACTGGAGGGCTCTAACTGGGCTTTCGTTGGTGGCAAGTTCGAGGAGTAAATGTGCCAAAATTTCTTGTTTTTTTGGAAGCATTGTGATACCTGATCTGGCATGGTGGGAGTTGCATTCCCTCTGTTTCGCGCATTGGACTGTCTCGGACAGAGCTATTCAATTGCAAGCCGGTTGAAACGGCTCTTTTTTTTGTAAATATTTTGTGCTTTGCGTTAGTTCTTTTCTATACCACTTTGTCTGGTGCGCTTTGTCTGGTGCATCTTGAGCTGAAATAGAGAATGTTCAAAAAACTCTTGAAGACTCGTTCGCTAGTGTAGTAGTTGGATGTTTAGGGTCTGTCCGTCAATGACCCGGTGGTTGTAGATACACCAAGTCAGCGATGCTTGTGTAATGATCACACAAGAACATATTCCTACCGAGTTAGGATAATGATGAATTGTTTCTTTTTCTGTGATATAGACGTGTTAGATGTAGAAAGGTCAAAACAAAGCCAGCCCTAACGGCTGACATGCCATCGGCCCCTCATTCACCGCTCCCCCTCTCCCATCATAAACAACCAACCAACCCAGCTGCATCCTCAAGTGCAGCATCATGCAGTCAGGAATTACAGGTAAGACACTCGAATACACTTGATCTTGAACTTCGAACAAGACCCCATTGAGCCAACACTAACAACCAGACCAGTCTCCGCGGAGCTGCACGATGCATTCACCCGCTTCAACTCCGACACCTCAACCTTCTGTCTGCCGGTAACCATCACAGCAGAGACCTTAACACCACTGGCCCCAATTTCCTTCCAGGGTAACCCCTCGGAAAACGCCTTCTTTTCAGCCCTCCCCCAGCTGTCCTCCGTCCTCCAGCCTAAAACCCCCATCTACCTCCTCCTCCGGCGCCCATCGAATGCCTCACCCGCCGCACTCATCGCTTTGACCTACATCCCGTCCAATGCGCCCGTGCGAGCAAAGACACTCTTTGCCTCGACTCGTTCGACACTGACCCGCGAGCTGGGCACCGAGAAGTTCGCTTCTACCGTCTTTGCTACTGAGGAAGACGAGGTTCTGGGCCAGGATGCATGGCGCGAGCGTGATGGCGAGGGCCCCAATGCTATCTCTCGTGAAGATATGATGGGCGAGAAGGAGAGGGAGCTGGAGGCTGTTCGTAAGGCTGAGGCTGAGGCACGGAATGGCACCCCCGGGAGGGACATTGGCATTGGCGGCACTTTTGGACCTGGATCTGGATCTGGGATGAGGGTTTCTATGCCGGTTGATGAGGGCGCTAAGTCTGCGCTGAGGGATCTACGGGATGGTGGGTTGGTACAACTGGTGAGTTATTACCCTGGCTTGTTGTCATCCTTTGAGAGGGCTGGTCCGGGTCGAGACTAACTTCAAGAAGACGGTTGATATCCCCACGGAGAAGATCGTCTTAGCCGACTCCCAGTCTGGAGTCGAGGCGAACTCTGTCGCCACACACATTTCCTCCACTTCGCCGCGTTATTCTTTCTATCATTACCCCGGATCCGATGTCGTGATCTTCGTGTACACTTGTCCCACTGGATCTTCAATCAAGGAGCGTATGATGCACGCCAGCTCGCGGAGAAATGCTATCACGGTTGCTGAGCAGGAAGGACTCAAGATCGAGAAAAAGGTATGCGTGCCCCGTGTTATGGATGGTCGTAATTGTTTGGTCGTTTGGATGCTTACAAATAGTAGATTGAGGCCTCTGGCCCTGACGAGATCACCGGTGATCGTTTGCAAGAGGAAGTCACCCCGCCACGAGACCAGGGTCCTACGCGAGGATTCGCCAGACCTCGTCGCCCCGGCCGGTAAATCGCTATTGTATAGATAGACTATGTTCTTGATGAGGCCAGGAAACTCTTGAGCCTCAGCGGGCATCGATCCGATAGCTGTAGTAAATATAGCAGCACTGTGCTAGACTATCGCCAGGTTATTGTCTAAAACTTGGTAATTGCTTTTTCCGACGAGATGACCAAAGGTAGAATCGGGTCTGGGGCAGAATATTAATCAGATCCTCAGATACCATCTCTGAAGAGCACATATTCCACAGAGAACCCGTGCTAGATCTTATCCTTCCTGGATAACCGTGGCCCTGGCCAGACTGAAGGGCCTGGGTCAGTTTTCCAATGCGTGCAATATAACAGACTTAATTATTGCTTGGTGTAGGTTTTATGAGCAACAGAAAGAATCATGCGAGGTTACATGTGCCGGAAATTTAACTGGTGATTTCCTAGTTGATTTGATGAACTCAACTTGGTGATGTCCTTGACTCGTTGAAGTAACTTGGGATAAAGTATACATGGATATTTCGAATGGTCATGGCATATTGACTTAGATAATGCCTAATCGGTTCCAAGATGAATATCACATACACATATCCGGGTATTCGTCAGTGTCGGCCTCAAGAACTAAAGCCATCTCACCACATAATTTGACATGAAAAGGTCGACTATGGTCGACTACAAGCTAATAAATCACAGTGTCCTCATTATCCTCAACGACCTCGCCTCCATCATCATCTCGGTGGGCATCATGCTGATCTTGAACGGCACTTTCCTCCACGTTAGCAGTGGTTTCATCCGTTTTAGCTAGATCGGGGTTTTGGTCATTAATGTCTACACCCACCGTGTCCGGAGCACCCTGAGCCGTTTCCTTAGACTTTGAATTAGTCGGATCCGCCTCGTGCTCTGGAGCCGATGGCTGGTCCCGAGGACCATCTGTTTGTTGCTGCTCTTCTGACTTTTGCGGCTGTTCTTCGCCTGCCTGTTGTTGTGTTTCAGCCTGTGTTGGCTGTGTTGGCTGTGTTTCAACCTGGGTTGGCTGTTCGGGCGCAAATGCCTCCGGTGGATATCGGGCTTCGAACTCGGTGACTTCTCGCGCAACAGTCGCCTCTGCTTCTTCGATTTGCTGTTTTATCGCCGAATCGTCGCCAGGTCGGGGTTGCCATGGTTTGTAATACTGTCGTTGATTAGCTCATTGTCACCATATATGGATAGGAAAGCATAACTCACCAGAGCCGGCTCGGCCTGTGTCTTGTGGAAATGTGCCATGGCAAGCATATTCGAATGCCGTGTTTGCATCTGGGAATGGAAAAGGTCAGTAAAAACTTCTATCAATCTATACCCCGGTGGTACGTAAGTGAATAGAACAAGAACATACCGCTTCTCGCTCATACAACGGCGTTTCCCTTCTCCGAATCTCATCACGCTGTTCCTTTCGCCGTTTCTTCAATTCACCGTACTCGACATCTTGCGACTTCAACTTCTCTTGCTGCTTCTTTTCAATATCAGCGCGCCGTCTTTGTGCCGCCGAACTTGAGCTCTGCGAGAGAGTACCAAGCAGCCCCCCGAATAACCGCTGGCCCCGCTTGCGATCCTCGTCTCGACCTCCGCGCGGTCTCGTAGGCTTCGTCTCTACAGACTCATCTGTCGTAGGCGGAGGGGATGATGGTCGACGCCGCTGAGAATGCGGGGAGGTATTGTCTGTAGAGCTGAGTCGTTGGCGCTTAGCGTCGTATTCTGCAGTTGAAGACTTTCGTCGCTTGGCTGTCAACTCCGGAGACTGCTGGATGGTGTCCAGGCTGGGTACGGCCACTGCCGATGCGAGTGTCTCAGGGCTGTCAAAGTAACATGCATGTTAGCTAGGGCGCTCCAATTACAACGCTTGCGCGTGGGTTGTACGGGATGAAGGGAACCACATACCCTTCAGACATCTTGGTTGGCAAACAACGCTGGTTATAAGAAAGAAACAAATTAAAGGAAAATGAACGACGTTATAGACTCCGATCTGGGTCAAATACTGGAGCTGAGGTCAAGAGGCGCAAACTAACGAGACGACACGCTGCGTAGAATCACACTGCTTATAATCACGTGCACAGACCACTTAGTTGAGGCGTTCACCGTCGGCTTCTCTTCTTTTACCTTCTCTTACATTTATTCTCCTCTCACGTCCCAGCGAGTGCCAAATCATACCTCATTCCACTTTCTACAGCTTTACTATTCTCATTTTCTTGTTACATCACTCAAATCACAATGTCTCGTCACCACCCCGACCTCGTCATGTGCCGCAAGCAACCCGGCATCTCTATCGGCCGTCTGTGTGACAAATGCGACGGAAAATGCCCCGTCTGCGATTCCTACGTGCGCCCCACGACCCTGGTCCGCATCTGCGACGAGTGCTCTTTCGGAAATTACCAGAACAAGTGTGTCGTCTGCGGCGGTGAGGGCATCAGTGATGCATTCTACTGCTTTGAATGTACGCGCCTCGAGAAGGACCGCGATGGATGTCCCAAGATCATCAATCTGGGAAGTTCGAGGACGGATCTGTTCTACCAAAAGAAAAGTTTCAGGAATCAATGATCTCGGCTTGTGGCTTGGTGTCCAAGTGGAGGGGAGCCAAGCATGAGTCTGGCGGGTTTACAATTTTCAGCCTATCGACGACAAAATGACTCTACAAGCTTTACAAATCTGAGCACATGCAATATACCATGTCGGTGGGCTATCTAAACCCGCTCCAACTGGGTTTATTTGGCGCCGTCTACCTGCAGCGAGTCGGCGAGTGGAGGAGATAAACGAACACATGGACCCGGATATAACCCAACGAGATGTCTCTGTCATCTGGCCTGTTTTTGTAGCATCGGGCAACCCTACCACCCAAAACAACTGGCAGACATGGTGGCAGCGTGCCCTGGAATAACAGATCTCGAGGATCCGCGAACACTGCAGGTGGTTTGATGAACTCAGGACCAGTGGGGGCTCTAGGTGGAGCAGCTGGACTGGAAACAACCCCTGCAGAGTTCGTGTCTGACACGCCTCGGGTCTAGGTCATGTTTTGTCGATTGCCTAGACGGGTATGGCATGACCCAAACCCCAAATCTGCGGCTTCAAGGCCTTGTACACAGATTTTCGCATTCGAATACATCTTCCTTTTTTGATCTTATTCCCCAAGGAGCCTCTGGATCCAATTATAATTTTCATTTGAACAAACTCATACTTGTTTTCATGCATTCAAGTGGTCGATTACTTCCATTTAGAAAATAACTTATTGTATTCTTCTCTGCACTTTCCCTTATCTTGTTGTATTCGTAAACTTTCCTTTCGGCATTCCTTCAATGATGCACTGTTTCATCTCTTTGTAATACCATGGCAAATCAATGGATGGTTTCCAAGGTTATTGTAAAGCTCTTCGGCCGCCTACATGTACGTACACGGATAACTATAACTAGTTATATAGTTGTTGTATCCTGCATATCGCTGTCGATGCGAGGGGCCGGGGTAAATCAAGTCATACGTACATACCTACATACTGTAGAAGGAGGTATAATTTAACTATGGGTGGTGTAGCAGTCGAAGGGTCGATAGTCACGAAGTAGAACTACTCTACTGTTCCACTAACTACTCGTCTATCTTGAAAAACGCGGAGAACAACCAATGTCAAATGTTTTCTCATTCACCTGGAAGCTGGCCGACCAACGCCAACCATCTCAGCCCCAAATCCCCAAAATCCGGTTTCTCGTGTCCCGCCTCAAAAACGCTACCATCCGGGTTAGGCGGATCAAGCCCTGGACCCCTGGAAGGGAAATAGCACAGTCCAACTGTGTAAATTCGCCATGTGTCCCAAATGACAAGCCCCAGGCGGCGCCAGGGCCTGAAGTGGCTCAAGCCCAATGAAGGGGAACGCGCTCGAGAGACGATCCGGTTTTCCCTTCGGAAGTACTTGACATGCATTGGTGCCCGTGAGCGCCATTCTGGCGCAAGCTGCCACCGTGACGATGTTGTTGCTTCGTTTTCCGGGGGTATAGGCGGCAGAGACCAGATGGGCATGGACTCACTGGGGGGCAGGTTGAAAGAGTGGAAGAAAGGAATTGGTGTTGCCTCGGGGAATTCCCAGGCAGCGTGGGAGGACTCGGCTCCCTCCGTATCCATTTTGAACCACCGAGATCTCGTCAGCTCCTCGGCGTAGTGCCCATAGGACGGGGTGAGGCCTAGGTCTGACAGAAGGGCGGCAATCGTCCAGATCTGCTCGTCGTTTCCGCTAAGTATTTCATTCCAGATATTGTATGCGTCTAGGTCCTGTATTGATTGTGCAGGCCAATTCCAGCTTCCTGTTGCAGCTTTGCGAAGGGCTGAATAGTGTTGGAGATGGAAGAGGGACCAGTACGTGCGGTATTCTTCAATCCATGAAAAGGGCTTCCGAGCTTTTTCTGCGCGCTCAGGTCCACTTAGAGAGCCGGCGACTGGTATCTCACTAAGGGCCGAGGAAAAGTTCTGCTGTATAAGCGACAGGCATGTACAGGCAAGGCGCTGTACTCCGGCAGCTAGGTGGATGATACCGAGTGATGCCCTGTAATCCAGATCTGGCGTGCCCTCACATACTTGTTGGCTGTGGGCAAAATCTGTGTAATGAGAGGTATGAATAAGGCTGATGTTGTAGCACAGTCTTTGTATCTCGGGGAAACTGGTAATAGGGTTTGCCAGTATGAGGTCATGTATAATGGAGGGTTGAGCCCGGAAGACAGCGTGGACTCGAGAGGATGCGGATATGAGGTTTTCGATAGCGACAAAATCGTCGGCGATATGAATGAGGATTTGTTGGTTCAGTTCTGCGGGCAGTTGAGCAAATGGGTCCATGTTGGAGGAAATACCGGCAGTGAAGTGTGGAAAGACAAGAAAGACAAAATTGGGGCCTTAAGTACTTACCCCCTATGTGGCTGAGCTAATTTTCAATTACGCACTGTAATACATTTCCTGTAGAATACTCGATAATCGTGCCAAGCGCGCAACACCGCCATACCTGGTGTTGGTGCGCCCCAGTCAACAATATGAGCCACCTCGAATACATCCGGGAGACTGTGGGTGCTCGATGTTACAACCTCACAAGCCTCGAAGGCCATAAACATAGCAGAAGAGCCCAAAGACAGGTAACTTGCGAGAACTTCCGCAAAGTCCTTGAATGACTCAGCTTGGAAGTTATTTGCTGTCATTCAATAATATCGTCAACTCGTATCTAGTCGTCAAACTTGATAATTTCTTCGTCTTTCCAGCTCCGTGGACACCCATAATCTTCTTGAACACCCTTCCTTGCAATGACAACCGTCCATCGGGGTGTTTGGAAGGTACTGGCACTCTCATAGCATTCGAAATTTAAACAAACTGGGAACTTGGGTGATACATGCAGGTTGTTCAATAGTATCCAATAATTTAATGTCCACATTGCGATGTTTCCTTACAAGATCAACGATTATGGTTTGAAATCTTTCTATTGCAGCTCTAGATACAGAGTAATGAGGACTTGCTTGGTTTCACCATAGAGGCTACTCATCCTGAACACCACGTAAAGGTGCAAGTCTTGCTCAGTTGCTGCACACAGGACCCGTGCAGCTGGGTTGGGAAGGAGGGGGGTGAGGAGGGGGGCGAGGAGGGGGAAAACTTTGAAGAAAGGAGGAACAGACAAACAGACAATAGGAACAAACATAAGAGAGAACAAACAAAAGAGAGAATAGGCACTGGAGCCACGGAGAGCTATCTCCGTGGAAAGAACGAAAAATTGGCTCAAAGAGCACAGTGTTCAGCTCCCAATGTCAATGGAGAACCCAAGAAAGTATAGTCAGTATCCACAGAGGTGAGGGTCAGACAGCCCGATTGGTTCCACGAGGGAGGTCCTTTCAGACAGTCCGTCTCACATGCTTCGTGCCTGGGCCAGGACCGAAGCCCCAGCTCATTTCAGCCTAACCTGAACCGCATCAAAGATCATCAGTGCCCTCAGGATACCCTTCGGACAACAGGAACACGATGTGCAATGTGGACCTGGAGCGTTGAGGAGAGAAGAAAGAAAAAGAGTGAGAAATGGGGGAGGGGGAGGGGGTATTTATATTTTCCCAGTGGCTTAAGGACGAGGAAACTGGGGTAGGTGACGATTTTTGACACAAAGGGAAGGCACGACGTGACATGAGACGCCTGAATGAATCAGAGTCAGCCAGATATCTTGATAGCATAGATACCCTTAGGTTACAGCTTCAATCGTGCGTACCCGATAATACCGCGCCACTCATCCTCTCGCCTAGCATAGACCAAGAAGTGGTTTGGAAAAATTCCACGCACAGAAACATACGTCGGTGTATGTCTGCTGAACTATTTAGAACCAGAAAGCTTACTCGGAGATGTCCTCGTTCAATTTCCCGCATTTGTCACATTGTGCAAAGCATTTGACCGCCAAACTTGGAGGTTTTGGTGAGCACACGTCCAGCAATATGGCCTGCCAACTATTCAATCACAATGGGAGACTATCCAGCTAATTTGGGATAGCATAGACCATCAGTACCTCGACCAACTATCAGCCCCTCCACCACCGATATGTCAACCTCTTACCCGGCCCCCCGGTCTCAAGCCTACTCACCTTTCGGGTCCTCCCAGACCCTACCTATGAATTCAATGCGATTATCGGGGAACTGATGGCCGCAACAGACGGCCTCAGTTGTGGAACAGGCGGACCCTCACCACGTGGATCACCACGCAGATGTGTCATAATCTCAGACCTACACACGCAAATGCAAATATTGCATCACAGATCATGGCCACTTTCTGTTTCTGATAGCGTGGACAAAGAACAAGCCATCAACAACAATTTATGCAAGGCCTGCTACTCAGCAGCCCTTCTGCTCTTCGGCAACTGTGTTTATGACGAGACCTTGGATGATGATCACGTTTCCTCGACGTCAAGCCAAGTGGCTGGTTGTTTGGAGTAAGTAGAGAATACCAACGAGCTGCTGGGACCAGATATCTCGGCTGGTGATGTGCCTGTCACCTGGCCCTTTGTTGCATCTTTGCAACGTCTGACTGGCGGCAGTGGTGGCGGCATGCATTCGAATTCAAGGATATTGGCAACTCCTGTCGCTTTCCAAGAAGCAGGATCTCTGGAGAAAGGCATGCAATTTCTCTCAGCCAAAGTGCCTACGCCGAGGTTATCCCAAAAAAAGCGAACCTCAACTCCAGTGTAAGTACTTGCCAATGCAGACTTCATACCGTTCACCAATGTGAACGATACACTCGTGGACTATGTCGAGCATAAATGTAGGGTTTATAGCGCTAGTGTCTTGGCGCCCCACAGGTTGTTTCCAACGTGCCGAGGCACACTTGGGAGGGGCTCGGTATGCCCTTTCTCCGACATCCTCTCCAGGCTAGCTTCATGCATGATTAGATGATTATATGATCATATATTCATATATCTTTCATTATTCTGACATATATTCTTCCCTCTCGACTCGTATCAGTCACAACTTGCATATTCATCAACTTCACCCGGTAGTCTGTGGGGTTGTACAGCTAAATATAGTACTTCAAAAGCTTGGACTCTAAAAAGGTGTCCACAAATCTTCAAGTTCCCCCTTGAAGACCGAACTTGAAAACATACAACATAACTATCACTGCCTGAATCAACTCGTCATGCCAGTCGACAAGATCCGAGTATCGGGTGACTCCCGCATTGAGTACAAGACCGCTACACTCAATGGCCATAACTACTGTGAGCATACCACTCTTCAAAGAAGAGCTTATACTCCGATGTCTTTTACACAGAACAAATCCGAACTAACGATTTGCAGCTTACCTTCTCAGCCAGCCCAAATCAGGGCAATACAAAGCCACCGTCTTCCTGGTAAGCGGCCAACTCAATAAAAAAGCCACACACGTTGACGTATATTCTCATAGATCCATGGCTTCCCCGATCTCTCCATGGGATGGCGGTACCAGATTCCCATGCTCGTAGACATGGGCTTGCGGGTGGTAGCCCCCGACTGCCTCGGATACGGACGAACAGTGAGTCTTTCCACCCTCCACGCTATCATGGGAATTATCATCTAACAATTCAACAAGGACGCTCCGGACGAATTCACCCCGTACTCCCACAAAAGTTGCGCAGCGGATATCAAAGCCCTAGCAACCCATCTAGGCGAAACCCAAATCATCCTAGGTGGACATGACTGGCAAGCACGCCCGAGCATACTTTATTTCCTAGAACCGCACAGCTAATACACAAAGCAGGGGCGCAGGACTCGCCTACCGAATTGCCCTCTGGCATCCGGAGCTAGTAAGCCACCTATTCACAATCTCCGTGCCTTACGCACGACCCATGGCCAAGAACATCTCCATCGAGGAACTCGTCCGCAACGTGACACCGCACTTCGCGTACCAGCTGCAGTTCAAGAGCGGGGAAGTGGAGAAGGTTGTTCGGTCCAAGGATGAGATTCGCCAGTTTTTGCTTGCGCTTTATGGGGGCCGCACCGAGGCGGGTGAGTCTGGGTTTGATGCCAATAAGGGTGTTTTGCTTGATAAGATTGGCCAGTTGAAGCCTTCGAGGTTGTTGAGTGAGGAGGTATGTTGGGTTTATTTGGTTTGGGTTTTTGGGGTTGTTATGCTGACTTTCTCCAGGAGTTGGACTTTTATACGAATGAGTTTGCTCGGAATGGGATTCATGGACCGCGTATGTTTCCTATGGATTTGCTGGTTAGGTTCTTGCTAATTATTTCTATAGTTAACTGGTACCGCACTCGCGACGTGAACTATGAAGATGAGCTTGCTATTCTCGACAGAGAGATACAGATTCCTACGCTGTTTATCCAGGGACTGAGGGATCAGGCTCTGCCGCCTCATTTGGGTAAATCTATGGCCAAGCAGGTCCCGCGACTGACCCTGAAGCAGGTGAATACCTCGCACTGGGCTCTGTGGGAGAAGCCGGAGGAAGTCAATGAGATTATTGGAACTTGGTTGAAGGACAAATATTTTGTCGATGGAAGGGCTGGCAAGCTCTGATTGGAGAAACGGTCGGCATATTTGCATAGTGAAAAGGAAATATTGATTGATTATTGCGAAAACGTATCTCATATCGTCAAAGTATTAAGAATATGCGCTTCATCAAAAGTCTCGAGTAGTTGCTTGAACCAGCATAACTGCATAGAGCTGGGACATCCCGTAAACGATGAAGCTATTTAGTACTGGAACACCTTAGTCTCGATTTTGCAGCCGACCTTCTCCAAGCGGTCCACGTAGTCCTGCCCCAGCGTAGCGGGAGTGACAATGCCACCACGCGAGACCTTCTTGATTTTCTCCTCCTCATTAAGAATAACCATAGCAGCCTCGGCCAGCAACAGTCCAGTAAAGGGGTACATGCCGCCGTGGTAAGTGATCTTACCGAAGACGCGCTGCGGTGAAGCACTGTCCGCAGTAGCGATGGCATGGTACTCGAGAAGGTCATTTGCCGAGTCCTCTCTGCGCGGACCACTGCCAGGGGCAAAGACGAACTTCTGCACCAGCCAGCGCACCGGCGGCAGCGCAAGCAGCGAAATTGCAATCAAAAAGCCGACGTGGATGGCGACGCCAATCAGTGCGTTACGGACCGATAGGAACTGACGGAAGACGAATTGCTGCCCGTATAGCTCTGGCATCAGGCTGCTGCTGCGGTGCACGATGGTCATGTCGCAGATACCGGATGGGGAGGTTGTCACGGTACCCAGGTCGCGGATTGAGCGTACACCGAAGGCCTTTTCCAGGATTGATTCGCCGGGGATGTTCTTTGGCGGTGGGGATGCTGCCAATGAGAAGGGAGTCATTGCATTGGATAGCTCAGACACTGAAAA